CCACCACAGAACAACCTCCTTTGACTATAATTTTCCTCTACCTACCCAAATCCTATAAAATGGTCCCACCCTTATCTCCCTTCGCTGACTCTCTTTTCGGACTCAGCCCGCCTGCACCCAGGTGATTAAAAAGCTTTATTGCTCACACAAAGCCTGTTTGGTGGTCTCTTCAAATGGACGCGCATGACAATAATGTATTCTAAATTTTATAATTTCCTGCTGACATCAGTTTCTGTCGGATTGTAGGAGCCTCACCAGAGAGGGCACCTGTCGCCATGTTGTAAAACTCACATTTGTCAAAAAGACATGGGTTAGGGTTTCTCCCCCTCCCTCTGGATGAAGCTAATTAGCTGACACGGATAGTCACCTCCATTACCAAGTAGAGCCAGGATGAACTATGTGTGATCAAGGGTGTTGTCAAGTCCTCTTCCCTGAGGACTGATTGGTGTTTATCTTGAAAACATGAACTTGGGTTGTACAGAACAGTTAAGTTTCTTTCTTTCTTTTCAACCTCTCAACTGTTCTCTATTTCCCATCACATTCTGGTATAAGGCTTATTTATTAATAAAACAGTTTTTATTTCTTTCGCTGTTATCGTCGTGAAGATGATATCTCATTTAAGGGAAGATTTTTTAGTTTTCAATTTTATTTTCTCAACATTTAAAAGCGAAGTAAAGAGTATTTCTTGGGCCAGGCACAGTGGCTCACTCCTGTAATACCAGCATTTCAGGAGGCCGAGGCAGGCGGATCACTTCAAGTCAGGAGTTTGAGACCAGCCTGACCAACATGGTGAAAACCCGTCTTTACAAAAAATACAAAAATTAGCCGGGTGTGGTGGCGCGCGCCTATAATGCCAGCTATTCTGGAGGCCGAGGCAGGAGAATCGCTTGAACCCAGGAGGCAGAGGCTGCACTGAGCCGAGATCTAGCCACTACACTCCAACCTGGGCGACAGAGAAATACTCTGTCTCAAAAAAAAAAAAAGGAAAAGAAAAGAAAGAAAAGAAATTAAAAAAGAAAGTAATAGATCTCTTCCACAAATGTGCTAGGACAATTAACTGAATAACCACATGGAAACGAATAATGTTGGATCCCTATCTCACACAATCAAAATTTTATTTTAAAAATTAAAAGAGACAAGGAAGGGAGCCCTGCGGGAGGTGTGACTTTGTCGCCCAGGCTGGCCTGGACCCCCAGGCTCAGCGATCCTCCTGCCCCTGGGTCCTTAGGCTCCTGCCCATGCGGCCGCATCCCTGCTGTGTTTAAGCAGCAGGTGGTGACCTCACTCCTCCCTGGCCTGAGCCCTCCACGCGCATCCCATGCAGGGGTCCTCGGGAAGTCTCTGAAGCTGAGCACAGGGTGAACTCTCCCTTCTGAGTGAATGGAGAGTAGAAAGGGAGAGGATTTCTATTCTGTTCTCTGGGCCGTCAGCATGAAATTGTACGTTCTGCCCAGGCAGGGTTTTGCATTTCACATTCTAGTTTGCAACCCCGTTCCAGACAATTCCAGGGCTTTTGAATCTTGCTTCAGCCTTCCTGACCTCTCTGGCGTCCAAAGTCCCAAAAATAGAGTCGCTGGGAGCGAGGCTGAGGGACCTGTCCCGCCCCGGTCCCGCCCTCTGCTGGTTCTAAAGGGCGAGGTCTCTCCGCCTGGGGCCCCACCTCTACCTTGCTCAGGCCCAGCCCACTTTCTCGTTGGCTCCACCCAGGCCTGGCTTTAGTCCTGTGCGCACAGATGCCCGCAGACCAGGAAGCAGATCCCCTAGAGTGAAAATCGCGCCGCGGCGGTGAGTTTTGCTCTGTGTTGTATTAAGTGTGCACTCCGCAGGTCCCCAGCACTTCCGCACCTGGGACATGGGGTCCCCGCAGACCTGTAAATTCTCGCCCATCTTCCTTCAACCGGAGAAAATGCGGACATTCCTCTGGGAATTCGGAAGTCGCTTCCTTTTGTGCTTAAAGTCGACCTGAGGCTGTTCCCGTCTCCGGTCTTCTGCTACAGGGCGATGTATACACTTCCTATCGCGTAGTTTTTGTGCTCAAAACCGTTTTTTAACTCCTCCCTCCCCGCGCTTTTCAAAGTCCTCACCCGAGATGTGTATTTCCGACCTGGGCGCCTCCCAGCCTCACCCTTGAAGGCCCCTGAAGCGCAAACGCCTCGACCCCAGTCTCGGGGAGGCCACGTTCTCTGCCTGGTGCTGGGATATTGTGGACCCCACCCTTGTACGAAGGCGTCCTCACACCCCACCTCCCGCCTCATGCTGGGCCCTGCTGCACCCCAAGTCTCCCCTTAGCAGTCACCGCTTCTCCTGAGCCCACGTTGGGGAGGAGCCCGGAGCCTGTCCTGTGACACCCGGTGTTCTTGCCTGCCCAGCTCCAGCCGCTGAAAAATGAGCTTCTCCGGGATGCAGGCGTTTTACTCCAAACCCTCCTGTGATTGTGTGGGCCAAAAGGATCAGGAGGCAGAGAGAGGGACTGAGAGAGCAGTAGAAAACCTGAGACAGAGAAAAGCAGAAAGACCCATAACAGATAGCAAAGTAGAGGATGGTGAGAGATTTGTGAAGAGACAGCAAAAGTGAAAATAAAAAAGATAAGAAAGCAGGAGGAGAAATGTAGAGAAAAGCTACAAGAGACAGCAAAAGTGGGGGGAAAAAAGAAAGAAAAGAAAGCGAAGGAGAAAAGCAACCGGAGAAATGTAGAGAAAATCTAGATGTACAGAGAGATGATGGACGACAGCAAGGTACAGAGGGGCAGCAAAGAGGGAGGCTCATCAGAGTGAGGGGGAGGAGGAGGGATTTGGAGCCAGGGCAGACAGAGCACAGTGGTGCTGGTGGCAAGGAGAACAGAGGGAGAATCACAGCAGGGAGGACACCTGGGGATCTGGGGTGCCAGAGAGCGGGGACAGGGGGTATAACAGGGAAGACAGAATTTAACAGGGAAAGCAGAGGAGGAGCAGAGATGGGAGAAGAGGCAGAAATACATGGAGATTGAGGACTATCTAAAGATTGGGGAGAAGGAGCAACAAGAGGTTAAACAAGATGTGAGGATGGAACCCAGATAATTTTTGTATTTTTAGTAGAGACAGGGTTTCACCATGTTGGCCAAGCTGGTCTTGAACTTCTGACCTCAGGTGATCCATCCGCCTCGACCTCCCAAATTGCTGGGATTACAGGCGTGTGCCACCGCACCTGGCCACCCATGCATTCTTGATTGAAAAAGTTTGCTTATGTCTTAGTTCTACAACTGACCCTCTTTCCCTGTTTTTTGTTTGTTTGTTTTGAGACGCACTTTCGCTCTTGTTGCTCAGACTGGAGCGCAATGGCGCCATCTCGCCTCACTGCGACCTCCGCCTCCCAGGTTCAAGCAATTCTCCTGCCTCAGCCTCCCTAGTGGCTGGGATTACAGGCATGTACCACCACGCCAGGCTAATTTTGTATTTTTAGTACAGATGGGGTTTCTCCATATTGGTCAGGCTGGTCTCGAACTCCCGACCTTAGGTGATCCGCCGGCATCGGCCTCCCAAAGTGCTGGGATTACAGGCATGAGCCACCAAGCCTGGCCTACTCACTGCAACCTTTACCTCCCAGTTTCAAGTGATTGTCCTGCCTTGACCTTCCTGAGTAGCTGGAATTACAGGCATGCATCACCACTTGTAGATAATTTTTGTAGTTTTAGTAGAGATGGGATTTCTCCATGTTGGTCAGGCTGGTCTAGAACTCCCAACCTCAGGTGATGCGCCCGCCTCGGCCTCCCAAAGTGCTGGGATTACCGGTGTGAGCCACTGCACTTGGCCTCTCTGTTTTCAAGGTCACTAGCTGTGTCTTTATACTTCTGCATTTTATAAATGTTACTGTAATTTTCTTGTGAGGAAGAATTAAATGTTGGGAATCAATGGCATCAGAACCTGACAAAAGAAGTTTCTTTATCCCAGGTATGTGAAAGATGCTTCTCTAAGTTTCAAGGATAATTTTGATAAGGCCAGCCCTTTCCATTAGCGCTTCCAGGCCACCATGTCAGAATTCAGGTACATCTTCTCACTCATCTCAGACCTTCTCAGCGTAACTCATTGAAAATGTCCCTGTTCTGAGGATATCACAGCGAAATCTAAAGCAGGTCATGTCAGTCCCTGGCAGGGAACCCTCCACCGGCTTCCCGTGTTCCCCAGGACAAAAGTCCAACGCCTCACTGTGGCTCCACAGCCCTGTGTCCAGGGCCCCTGCCAGTGTCCAGCCTCCTCCTGGGAGCTTACCCTCATCTCATGTCTCCCTCTGCCCCAGTCACATTTGCTTTTTCTCTTTTCCCAAACCTCAAAACCCTTCCTGTCTCAGGTTGTTTTCACTGCTCTTACCCTATGTCCCTAAATGCTCACAGCACTGTCCCCTTCTCCTCCTTCAGGTCTTGGGTCAGAAATGTCTCCCATGCTCTCCCACCCCCATCTGAAGTTCCCTCTGCCTGTCAGGCTCTATCACATTACTCAGGTTTTATTATCTCTGCGTCAATCACATCAGAAACATGCGTTTTTTTCTTTTCCCAGAGAGTCTCACTCTGTCCTCCAGGATGTGAATGCAGTCTTGTGATCTTGGCTCACTGTAACCTCTGTCTCCTGAATTCAAGCAATTCTTGTGCCTCAGCCTCCCAGGGAGGTGAGATTACAGGTATGTGCCACCATACCCGGCTAATTTTTGTATTTGTATTTTATTTTATTTTTGAGTCTCACTCTGTTGCCCTGGCTGGAGTCCAGTGGTGCCATCTCGGCTCACTGCGACCTCCACCTCCCAGGTTCAAGTGATCCTGCAACCTCAGCCTCCGGAGTAGCTGGGATTACTGACACCCCACCAAGCCTGGCTACTTTTTGTATTTTTGGTAGATACAGGGTTTCACCATGTTGGCCAGGCTGCTCTCCAACTCCTGACCTCAAATAATCCTCCCACCTCAGCCTTCCAGAGTGCTAGTATTTCAGGCATGAACCATCATGCCCAGCCCAATTTTCGTGTTTTTAGTACAGACAGGGTTTCACCATGTTGGCCAGGCTGGTCTCAAACTCCTGAGTTCTAGTGATCGTCCCACTTCAGCTTCCTAAGTAGCTGGGACCAGAGACACACAGATGTGCACCAACCATACGTGGCCAAATTTTTCTATTTTTGGTAGAGATGGGGTTTCCCATGTTGCCCAGGCTGGTCTCAAACTCCTGAGCTCAAGCAATGTACCCACCTTGGCTTCCCAGAGTGCTGGGATGACAGGCATGAGCTAACACACCCAGCCTCTGCACGGGGTTTGGTCAGGGCTGGGTCTGTGCCCTGAAGGGGATCTCGTTCCAGCCCGGCTCCTCAATCCTGCAGTGTGTGTGTGGGCTTCTCCAGGAGGGAAGTGAGAGTCTTTTAGAAATGTATCATCCCTGGTGCAGTGGGCAGCAGAGGTGACTGTATTTTTTCAGGGTGAGGGCACCTTTGTATGTGTCATTGTGTTACAGGGAGGAAGTGTGTTGATTCTGAGCAATAAACAATATATTTCTAACATTCAGGATTGACTTCTAAAGACTCTTGGTACGTGAGGAAAAAACAGGGAAGAGGAAAGCAAAGGGTCAGGGATGGCTCTTCCTCAGGTGAGATGATATTCCCGGTGGATTGTTCTGTCTCTTTCCTTTCAGAAACCCTGGCCTTGGTGTTGTGAATCTTCTCTGAGTCTCAAGTGTCCTCCCTGACAGGTTTGCTCACACTCACCCATGCCTTCCCTCAGTCCCTCTCATCTTGCTCACAGGGTGAGGGTCCCATGGTGTCAGTGCTGTTTGGCAGTGGGGATTGTTCAGGGGCCACATCTGGATGCTCTGTCAGTTCTCTGTAGATCAGGATTAGAGCAGCTGCCAATGGAAGTCACATATTCATATGCACAAAGTACGTGGTAAATTCTAGAAAAGGAGACCAATAAGGGAAAATCTTTTCTCCCTGATTTTATACTAAATTTTTCAGTAATTGAGTGAGTTGCTGTGTTTCTGACTCAAAAAATCTTAGTACTTAGAATGGGAAATTCATACACAGACATGAATGATACAGGGGTTTTATTCCATCATTATATTAAGAATATGAAGTCAACCTAAATAACAGCAGGAGATTTATTAAACCATTCTTAACAAATTAACCTGATGGAGACAGTGGTGTTACTGTGGAGAGTCTTGTGAAACAGGTGTTTTTTGTAAAACTGGTTACAATTTTTCTGAAGTATAGGAGCAGTACCTCTAGCTGCCAAAGTATCCTTTTCCACCAAAATGAGGTTCCTCTTCAGTTAAACAAAACTTGCTACTTTTTATATTTTTAAAACCTTTATATATATACACATATATACATGCACATACATATATACACATATGTATGTATTTTGAAAATATTGCATACTTTGAAAATCTGGGACAAATGACAACACTTTGTGTTAACATGTAGTTTTTTGTGAGTGTGTGTAGGTTTTATTATTTTTTGAACATATACAAAATAGAGTTTTGTACTTTAATCTTATTTTCATGTATTTTATTTTATTTTGAGATGGAGTCTTCCTTTGTTGCCCAGGCTGGAACGCCTTGGCGCAATCGTAGCTCACTGAAACCTCCACCATCAGAGTCAAGCCATCCTCCCACCTCAGCCTTCCAAGTAGTTGGGACAACAGGTGCCTGCCACCATGCCCAGCTAATTATTTACTTCTAACATAAGAAATTCATACTGAGAGGGTATCCTGACCTCTTCAAAAAGTGTAATCAAACACCACTGGGAAGACATTATATGGTGGAAAATCCCTCACTTGGATTCGTCAGAACATTCCTACAATTGAATCCATGCTTTCCCCTCTCTCCTCTTCTCATTTTCTGTAGAGATAAGAACTTCTCCCATAGCCATTTTTTTTTTTTTTTTGAGACGGAGTCT